GTACATCAGCCATGATGGTGCAACAATGTAATCTTAGCACTTGGAATTGAAGACAGAAGGATCAGGAGTTCAAGGCCAGCCTGAGATACTCCACAAACAAAATCAGGGGCTGGAGAGAATGGACAATAAAATGTGCATCATTCAAGCTTAGAGGTCTGAGTTTTGTTTTTTTTGTTGTTGTTGTTTATTTGTTTGGTTTTTTTTGTTTTGTTTTGTTTTGTTTTTTTTTTTTGGTTTTTCGAGACAGGGTTTCTCTGTGTAGCTTTGCGCCTTTCCTGGAGCTCGCTCTGTAGCCCAGGCTGGCCTCGAACTCACAAAGATCCACCTGCCTCTGCCTCCCAAGTGCTGGGATTAAAGGTGTGCGCCACCACTGCCCGGCTGTGGCCTGAGTTTTATACCCAGCATCCACATAGAAACCAGAGCATGGCCAGCTATGACGGTAGAATGGCACCTGCCCTCAGTCTCAGCATTCATGAGGCAGAAGCAAGCAGCTCACTGAGTTTGAGGCTAGCCTGGTCTACATAACAAGTTTCAGGCCAGGGTTAAATAGTAAGACCTACCTAAAAAAAAAAAAGCAGGATGTGGTGGCTCACACCTTTAATCCCAGCACTTGGGAAGCAGAAACAGGCAGGTCTCTGAGTTCGAGGCCAGCCTGGTCTACAGAGGGAGGTCCAGGATACACAGGGAAGTCCTGTCTTGAAAAACCAAAATAAACAAACAAACAAATAAATAAAAGTGACTGGGAGCTTTGCAAACCGTACATGTAATAGCAGGCTTGTGTTTGAACAAGAAACATTCTCACAGTTCAATGACCAAAAGCCTAATCCCCAGGTCCTGAGTTACATGTGACACCAGGATCATTAGTCAAGGCCAGCCTGGTCTACTAGAGCAAAACCCTGGGACTAAAACACAAAACCCCAAACCAAAGCCTTGTCTCCGGTCCTGACAGCAAGAGCAGTTCCTCACGTGGAGGAGGGGAGGAAGCATCAGCAGGAGGGAGGCTGGCGGAGAGTGCCTAGCGGAGTGTGCCTAGTGGAGTGCCCACCTGGCATGCTCAAAGGCCTTGCACTGGATGCCCAGGACTTCATAAGTGCGGCAAGGTGGCTTGTGCCTGTAATCCTAGTACTCAGGAAGTGGATGCAGGAGGATCAGAAATTTAAGGTCATGCTCAACTCCCTGTATGGTAAGTTCAAGGACAGCCTGGGCTACATGAGATCCAGTCTACACATACACACACACACACACACACATACACAGAGAGAGAGAGAGAGAGAGAGAGAGAGACAGAGAGACAGAGAGACAGAGAGACAGAGAGACAGAGAGACAGAGAGAGAGAGAGAACAGGCTGCTCAGTCTTTTCTCAGATTCTCAGAGTTCAGGCCTCAATTTCAGTTTCCTGAGACTTGAGCAAGCAGTTTCTGGGAGGGCCATGAACAAAACACACAGTCCTTGCAATAGCTCCCTTTCTGCACGTACTCTGACTGCTCAAAGTTCAGCCAGTTGTTTACTGTCTGGACCCTTCACCAACTTAGAGCTATGTTCAGGAGTCAGTGTGAAAGCCTGAGCCACTGAGTCAGCCCCCACAGTCAGTACCTGCTAGGCCAGCCGACCTCCATGGCAGCTCAAGGACAAAGCCTGGGACTTGTCCAGGCCTGCCCAAAAATGGATAACTGGAACCCCCAACTAACCCTACCCATTTAAAAGTTACTAACATGATTGCCACTCACATAAACCAATCCTGAGTCTGTTCCTATGTAGTCTCTGGACCTCAAGCCCCCTTGCTTTAAAAACCCTGCCTCATTGCTACTCAGGGTCTCTCCTGTTCTGCTGCTGCATCCCGCAGAGACTCCCAAGTCAACTCCTAACAATACAAAGACTCTGCTTTTGCATCTTGATGGTCTTTGGGAGACTCTGGGTACAATATTTATCTATAAAGTGGAATGAAACATGGATACATCAATCTAAAATATGCTAAGTGAAGCCAGGCAGTGGTGGCACATGTCTTTAATCCCAGCACTTGGGAGGCAGAGGCAGGGGACTCTCTATGAGTTTAAGGCCAGCCTAGGCTACAGAGTGAGTTCCAGGACAGCCAGGGCTACACAGAGAAACTCTGTCTCAAAAACAACAACAACAATAATAATAAGTAAATGAAATAAAATAAAATATGCTAAGTGAGTGGTGGCGCACGCCTTTACTTTAATCCCAGCACTCGGGAGGCAGAGCCAGGCGGATCTCTGTGAGTTCGAGGCCAGCCTGGGCTACCAAGTGAGTTCCAGGAAAGGCCCAAAGCTACACAGAGAAACCCTGTCTAGGAAAAGCAAAAAAAAAAAAAAAAAAAAAAAAAAAATATGCTAAGTGAAAAAAATATAAAAGATCACAAAGTCTATGATCTCCCTTATATGAAATGTCTAAGCTGGGCATGCTAGCTGATGCCTGTGAAACTTGCATACATTCCTGAGGCCCGCGGGGCCACCTCACTCCCAGAGAAATGCTGAGCCCTAAAGACTTTAGTCCCTAAAGACCTAGGGAAGAGATGCCAGGTGGTTGGGTCCCGCCCCTCCATTCCTCACTCAGCTTCTGGGCCAACTAGGGGAGGGGAAGCTTCACAGAAGTCAGAGGAGTAGCTTGCTCCATCGAGCGCGGAGCAAGATGACTTCTCCAGCCTTCCTGCCACTGTGTGCGCTTGCGCAGTGAGCCTGGGGTTGCGCTGGGCAGGTCGGACTAGGTTGGAGTCTTCGGGCTGTCGTCACCCGGGTGACCAAAATCTTCTGGAGAGATGCGGCCCAGGAACTAGGAGAATGTCAAGGCCACTTACAAATGGTGCAGCTTTGCAACCCTGAGGTCTTAGTCCTGTGCGGCACAGAAGCATTTTCAGGCAATTACAAAAACATGGAGGTGGCTGTGTCTTTGCTTAGAGACATTGAAAATTGAACTCCTAGAATCTTATATATTTTTTGATTTTTCTCAATCACCTAAAAATATAAAAACATTTTGTGGGGTTGGGGATTTAGCTCAGTGGTAGAGCACTTGCCTAGCAAGCGCAAGGCCCTGGGTTCGGTCTTCAGCTTTGGAAAAAGAAAACAAAACAAAAAACCAGAAAACAAAAAACTTTTTGTGTGCATTCCAGGAAAAAAAAAACAGAGATCACACTTTTCGGATTCCTGCCTTGGGATGGGGTGCCCTTCCTCCCTCCTGGCCTTAAGTGTTCCGGAAAAGACTTCACAGCCACTGGGAGACCAGCGAGATGGCTTGGCTGAAAAAGGCACCAGTTGCCTAGCTGGACGACCCAAGTTTGGTCCCCAAGACCAGTATGGCAGAAGGAGAGAATGGACTTCAGTAAGTTGTCCTCTGACCTCCACACGTACACTGTGGCTTTGCTTCTGCTCCAGTAAATTAAAAAAAAAAAAAAAAAAAAAAAGCCAGGCGGTGGTGGCGCACGCCTTTAATCCCAGCACTCGGGAGGCAGAGCCAGGCGGATCTCTGTGAGTTCGAGGCCAGCCTGGGCTACCAAGTGAGTTCCAGGAAAGGCGCAAAGCTACACAGAGAAACCCTGTCTCGAAAAACCAAAAAAAAAAAAAAAAAAAAAGAAAGAAAGAAAGAAAGAAAGAAAGGAAGGAAGGAAGGAAGAAAGGAAGGAAGGAAGGAAGGAAGGAAGGAAGAAAGAAAAGACGGCGCACACTGTGATTTTTCCACTGTGGCTTCTCAGGGAGGCTGACCATCCCCTGATAAAAGGGCAGCAGCCTGCAAATTTTGCAGTTATCTCATAATCCTACTTTTGTTTCAACTTTTTTTTTTGTAGGAAAACCTAATTCTTTTGAATTAAGTCAGCCTGAGGCAGGGCGGTTCAAGGCCAGCCTGGACTACACAGTGAGTTCAAGGCCAACTGGGCTACAGGGAAGAGTCTGTATGAAGGGCCCCCCCACTAGAAAACAATAGGGCCTGCTTGCAAGCTTTCCCCTTGAATCACTCGTTGCAGCCTCTGAGACAGAGCTGAGCAATAGCTGGTCCCAGGACTCGGGGACAGAGTGCCAGAGTCCGCCCCTGGGTCTGTGGTTAAGCACAGGCATCCTGCACTCACAGCTAATGTTCTACTACAGAGTGCAGTCTGAGGTCAGCATTTAGGCCAGCACTGTTCAGTAGAAATGCGTGAGCCATAATGTGAAAAACAGGAGACACACTGAATAAACTGAATGATTTGAAAGATCGAGAGAGAGAGAGAGAGAGAGAGAGAGAGAGAGAGAGAGAGAAAGTGAGCCGTGTAACTCTAAAGTAGCAATGCTTTATTAAGGTTTTAACTCCATATAGTCAAGATTGTATCTCCTCCTGTAAGCAATATATAACGTAAAAACATTCTATTTATTTTTTTGAAAAAGGGTCTTATGTAGCCTAAGCTGGACCTGAACTCACTCTTTCGCCAAGGATGACAGACTTCAGATCTTGCCTCTGCCTCCTGAGTGCTAGGATCACAGGCATGTGCCACCACAGTGGGCTTTATGGTTTTATGTGGTGCTGAGCATCAACCCTGGGTTTCCTGAAAGCTAGGCAAACACTCTACTCACTGAGCCAAACCCCCAACCCCCTATTGTTTTTGGGATGGGTTTCTGCTGTTTCCCAAGCTGGCCTCAAACTCCTGGGAGTGATTCTCCCAGGGGTTGAGAATACCAGTGTACATCACTTTCCTTGACTATAAAACAACTATTAATGAATTTGTGTCCTAGACTTTTCATGTGGTATGTATTGTATGCATATTGCATATTTACGGCAGATCCCACTTTTGACTAACCATACTTCAACCTCTCTCTCATGTGGCTAGCAGCTACCTGAGCAGACAGTGCACATTTGGGTCCATGATTCCAAAGGGAAGAGGTGTCCACTCAGCTCTTGGGCCGGGAAGACCTGGGCAGAGGTGGTAGGGGCTGCCAGAGCGGCTGCTGTTAGCCAGCTGGCACCTCTGCCCACCCACCCCACCCGGGCTTCCCTCACTATGGTACTCTTTAGCAGTGAGCCCAGTTCCTAACGAATCAGTCAGTGTGTGGGTGCTGGCTCTATTTTCAGGGAGGCTGAACTGAGCTTGCTGGTGAACATGGGGTGGGATGCAGGCTTGGATATCAAGAGGGCTGGCAGTAGGGGTCCAAGCTTTGGAGGCGAGGCGTGTTTCTTTCCTTTATACAAATAACTAGCACTCGGGAGGCAGAGCCAGGTGGATCTCTGTGAGTTCGAGGCCAGCCTGGGCTACAGAGTGAGTTCCAGAAAAGGCACCAAAGCTACACAGAGAAACCCTGTCTCGGAAAAACAAAAACAAAGTAACTAGATAACTCTTCTTGTTTATTTAAAAATTTTATGTGCATATGCCTTCATGTATGTATGTGTACAACACACATACAAGCCTGATGCCCACAAAGGCCAGAAGAGGGTGTTGGTTCCTGGGAACTGGCGTCACACGCAGTTGTGAGCTGCCTGAGGAATGCACCGAGAACTTAGCAGCAGCAGCAGCCAGTGCTCTTAGCCACTGAGCCCTCTCCAGCCGTCGATGGGTGTTTCTCACCACTCATGTTGGGGAGGGGGTGAGGAGGAGAGAGAAAACAAAGAGAAGGCCCCAGCTCCAAACAGAGGCACCATGGTTCCTGGGAGACCACCTTTCCAGATGGTCTCCTTCAGGAGACAAGGAGAGCCCTCTGTCTGTTTCCCAGCATCCCTGTTATGCCTGTAGATTCTCAGAACCCCCTGCTGAGGGACTGTGGAAGTCAAATTTCCCCTTCTTGAAGTGGGTGACCAGGAACAGAGACACGGGAGTCTTGAGGCTGAGGGCTCCCTTCCCCTGACCGGCTTCTCGAGATCACAGTACCTCCTTCCCCAGCCTGCCCACATTTGTTTTCCATGGTTGAGACTTCCTCAGGACCAGCCACACATAAGGCTGTGGTGAGGTGTGAGCAGGCCGCGACGGGATGGGGAGGGCGGGGCGGTGGGGCGCAGTGTTGGCAGTGTTTCTGAGCGCCTCCATCTGCTTCTGCCATCAGAGGCGATCCTTTGGGATCCCACAGCTCCTGAGACACAGCAGTGTCCGCAGGAGCACAAACATCAACCGCCAGGGCTCCTCCAGGACCAACCGGGGTCAGATGCGGTTATCAGAAAGAATCAGCCACAGCTCAGGGTCACACAGGTCAGGACAGGAATGTGGAGCCCGTGGCTCTATGGGAATGCAGCTGCACAGACACACAGAGATGAGCCAGAGAAGCTCCAGCTGTTTATTACAAAATAATAATGACTTCCATATACAAAAGATAACCCGACAACCCCTGGTACAGCCATGGTGGCCTGTACCCCCAGAGGCCCTCCCTTAAGTGGAAGGTCTCAGATTCTAAGGTCTCCAGATAGGAGGGCACTGTACCGGGCAGGTGTGAGGGGCAGGTAGGCACCCGCATCCTGGTCCAGAACATAGAGAGGATCAGACAGCGCCCTGGGGTCAAAGCCCTCATTCGCCATCCTAACCTTCTGCTGTTTGAAGGTCTCGGTGGTGGCCAAAGACTCCTGGGGAGAGAAGGGTGTTTTCAAAGGGAGTTGGAGGAAAAGGAATCTGTCCACTTAGTTCAGGTGAGTTGCCTGAACTCTGGTCAGGGGCAGGTATGAGGGAAGGGGACATCATGTAATGTAGCAACAGAGGAGGTAGCAACAGAGAAAAGCGTGAGCCAGGCCTGAAGAACGCGGGGGGGGGGGGGGGGGGGTAAGAAGGGAGACAACCCAGTCAGCAAAGAGCTTTCCATGCAAGCATGAAGACCTGGATTCAGTCACCAGCACCTGTAAGGACTGCTGGGAGAAGGTGGAGTCAGGAGCATCTCTGGGATTCACTGGCCCGTCTACCCTAACTGGTAAGCCTACAAGCCAAGAAGAGACCCTGCCTCAAAGGAGGTGGCTGGCATTCCTGAGGATGACTCCCAAGGCTGTCCTCTGCCTCCATATTCTCATGGACACACCCAAGCATGCACATGTTCGCACACACACAAGATAAAAGCGGGAAATGAGAAGCATATGTCTAGCAGGGGGAAGTGTCCTTTCTCTTCAAGGGGTGTCTTACGTTGGGTCCCTTTGTAGAGTTAGGGGACCACTTACAGCTGCAGATATGTGGGTGAGGGGTTGGGCCAGGAGCAGCCGGTTACCTGGAGCCTGAGGAATCGAGGTCGGGCATAAGGTGGCAAGTTCTCAGATACATGGGCGTAGAGCTGCACAAGGTCCAAAGCCTGCGGAGGCCGCAGGGCCAAAGCTGCCATGCCAGCCCGGCCTTCGTGCCCTGGTGGGTGTGGGAGATACATAAGCCCTTCTAGTCCTGGTGCCTGAGCACTACTATATGGGGTACCGGGCTAGACGACTCCCCACATTCCATGCCTAAGCACCTGGCACCGTGACTCCATAGATGTTCACCTCCTGAAGGAAGTCCAGGGCCTCGAGGACCTCAGCCACTTCAGTTGTGGCCACATTCTCCCCCTTCCACCTGTTGGGAGAGCAGAGAGAAATGGAGATGGACTAAGGGCTTATAATATTGCTGAGGAGATAGAGAGGCTAGGGCCTAATGCTGCTGACGAAGCCTGAGAGAGAGAGATGGGGTTGGACTTGGGATGAGGTGGGAAGAGCATCGAGTTGGGTTTCTGAGGTTTGAGTCGCTGAGTTTGAAAGTCTGGGAAGATCGGCAAGCTACAGATACCTGAAGGTGTCTCCGGTGCGATCATGGAAGTGAAGAAAGTCTTGCTTATCACAGACCAAGAGGTCCCCGGTATTGAAGAAAACGTCTCCAGGCCAGAAGACATCCTTCAGCAGCTTCCCCTGGGCCAGTTCTGGAGCCCCAGCATAGCCCAGAAAGGGGGACTGCTGGCTCACCGGGGCCACCAGTAGCCCTGGCTCACCTGGAAAAATTCTGGGGTCACGAGTGGGTTACCCAATGTCACGGGGACCTCTAGGCCCCACCCCACCTCAGTCGCCAAGTCCAAACCTTGTCTGCCAGCTTCATCCCAACCCACGCACAAACCTGGAGATGTGGCCACACAATGCCCCTGGGCATTCCGAATAGGCTCCCCTGTCATGACATCATATCGAATCAAGGAGAAGGGGAAGACGTGCTGGGGAAGGGGAGAGCCACACTGGGTCACCAGCTTCAGGAGCCTCCTTTCTCACTATCCCCCTGCTGCTCCAGGGGTGCTCATGCTCTTCCTGCCTCTCACCTTGTAAAGCCAGGAAGCGCGCCCCACCGCCCCCGGCTGTCCCGTGTAGTTGAAAGTAGCCACGTTGCCCTCAGTCATTCCGTATGTCTCCAGGATCTGCAGAGGTCCAAAGCGCCGCACAAAGCGCTCCCAGGTGTCGGGGCGCAGCCCGCTGCCCACTGCCAGCCGGACCTTGTGGCCATGCTCCGCCTGGCTCTGGGATGAGTGAGAGAGGGGCACAGGCTGCAATATCAAGCTTCCAGATCCCCGGGGGGGAAGTTCTGTTGCTCATTCTCCAGGACCTCCTCCCACCGTGCGCTCCCTCCCTAGGCGTCGGAGGGCCTGTTCAGCTGTGGGCTACTGGCACGGTACTGTTTCTTCCCCCGGCTTCCTCTCTCCAGCTTCCAGAAGACGGTCTCAGTGTCGCCTGCTGTCTGGCCTGCTCTGAAGCCTACTCACCGGGGGCTGGTTGACGAGGTATCGGCACAGCTCTCCAATGTACTGGAACACCGTCACTCCGTGCTTCTGGCAATCTTCCCAGAACTGGCTAGCTGAGAACCTGGCCTTCAGCACCACCGTGGCCCCTGCCAGGAAAGGGAGGGGGGGGGAGATCAAGAGATGACCCTCACCACCTCTGCTCCCTGGGAAGGACCTGCTGGAGTCGTGTCTTCAGGAGGCTGTGGTGGCGAATCCTTTCTCACTTGTGTTTGGCAAGGCTAATAGTCCTTTCTGGATTGATATAATCCTTCTCCGTTGTCTCCCTGAAGTCTAGAGTCTGTGAGCTGTGCAGCCTCCTTGGCTGCTCAGCCTGTGGCCCTGAGTGGGTAATGTTTCCTACTATACACCAGGAGTTTCTACCGTAGGGACCGCCTCCCTCTGCCCGGGACTCAGGACACCTCCCCGGCAAGGCAGGCATCGAAGGTACTTCCGCACTTGCCGAAGCCGTGGTGGCTCTTAGCCAGTGAGTCACACATCAGATATGTACATCACGATTCCTAACAGCAGCAAAAGTACAGTTATGAAGTAGCAATGAAATAATTTGATGGCTGGGGGCGGGGGTCACCACAGCATGAGGAACTGAATTCAAGGGTCACAGCATTAGGGAGGTTGGGAACCACTGCGCTAGAGAGGTATATGACGAAGACTGACCAATGCCCAAGCAGCCCACAATGCCCAGCAGGGAGCCGGACATGTGGTACAGTGGGAGCGCGAGGTAGATCACATCCTTCTGGTGGACGCCACACAGCTGGTAGAACCCCTGGCACTGCAGGACCTTCAGGTGACTGATGCGAGCAGCCTTGGGCAGGCCTGAAGGGTGGCAAGAGGGGGGACGGTCAGATGAAGGGTCTGAGCTCCATGTCCTGGGGACGTGGGTAGTTTGGGGAGTGGCAGGAGAGAAGCTGTGCCTGGGATGGTGTCCAGAGGGACCTGGAAGTTTAAGAGGCCCCAGTCCTCTCCGCAGACCTTGCCACCCTCTGCCTCAGTGTCTGTCCTCACCAGTAGTGCCAGAGGTGAAGATGTACAGGCAGGTGTCCATTATGCTCTGGGGGGCCGAGAGGTACCCAGGCACTGGCTCGTCCACTTGGGCTGCTGCCTCAGACATCAAATTGCTGATTCCAGCAAGATGAGTTTCGGGGCCCGTCGCCCACAGGTGGAGCCCCATGGCTCTCAGGGCCGGCAGGTCCGGCTCCAAGGACTCCAGGAACTCTACAGGGATGGGCAAATGCAGCTTCACGGCTCTCCAGCTACCCTAAAGCCCTTCATCACCCGTTGGCTTGCTCTCTGTCCCCGTGAAATGCTCTAGGGTGAGGGTGGCACTACGGGTGGACCATATCGCGCCTGGGACCTGTAATCCCACGGCCTGGGAATCCTTTGGGTTCGGCACCATCCCTTCCCAAACCCAGGGCCTCTTATTCCCACTCACTTCTGCACTTCTGTTCCGGGACCAGACACGCCCCTTCTGGCGCGGCAGCCTTACCTGGAGCCAGCACCATCGCGCTGGCACCGCAGCTGCGGAGGCAGTGCAGCAGGGGCCCTCGGCGTAGGGCGGTGGGCACGAAGGCCGTGCGCAGGCCGGCTTTGGCCAGTCCGAACCAAAGCCATAGGAATTCCGGGCCCGCGGGGAGGAGCAGCGCCACAGTCGCCCCGGGTGCCAGAGGGGGTGCGGTCGTCCCTCCTCCCGCCGCCGAGTCTCGGGCGGCAGGCGCCGCGCGTGCGCCTTCCTCGGTGCTGCTAGTGCCCGAGCCGCCGCGGTCCCCGGCCCAGCCGCGTGCGTGCAAGAAGGCGCGAGCAGCCCGGTTGCTCTCGCGCTCTGCGTCCGCGTAGCTGAAGCGCCGTGCTCCGTGAATGAGGAAGGTGTGAGCCGGACGCTCCCGGGCCAGGTGCGCAAGGCGCCAGGCCAGGCTGCAGCCGCCCTCGGGGCTCTCCGGGTCTGCGGCCGCGGCAGCCAGCGCGCGATCTCGAAGGGCCCTTTTGCAGCGGAGGGCGCGCACTGTGAAGGCCAGGTCGGCCAGCAGCCAGCGCAGCTGGGGCCAGAGGTCCAGCTTCAGCAGCAGAGGCAGCAGCAAGAGTAGAGGCAGCAGCAGCAAGAGGGCCGCCATGGTGCCCTCTTCCTCTGGTCCGCCCTGGCCGCTCGCATACACTCCGGGTGGTCCCTCCTGAAACACTGATCTTGGTCAGGCTCCGGGAACGCTAGTCCCTGGGATCGTGGCGCGCGTGCGCTGGCACCCGCCCTTCCCACCCAGCCTCTGCGGTGTGGCGCGGGAGCCAGGAGTGGGGGGCGGCCCGGCCCTCCCCACAGACCAGGCCCCGCCCTAGGCGCACACGCTTTGGAATTTGACTGCTGGTGGCCAGCAGCCTGCAGTCTGAAGAGGTGCCTACCCTCATCCCTACAGAGGTGCGTTTTCAGGGCCGGCTAAGCTATTGGCTGGCTGCAGGAGTCCTGGTCCAGGAGCCAGGGCGCATCTGTCATTCTTTCCTTTGGTGGTTCTTTATCACCCGTCATGGGATGGTAAGATTGCTCTCTTTCCAAGGAGTCTGAAGAATTTGGCCCCTGGCCCGTTCGGTTCTGCAAGTCCAGGCAGGACAGCCAGATCCATGTGCTGTGCGGGCTCCAGCTAGCAGCAGCAGTAGCAACCCCAGGGAATGGGTGGGGTCCTGAGAGTTAAGTAGGGGAAAGGTGGAGGCCAGACTGCCAGATTTTTGGAGGGAGGCCCTTCATTTTTAGGCAAGGATACAATAATTGGGACCAGCCAGCAAATGCTTCCCATCCTGGTTTTAATAGGTGCATGGAAACTGGGGATGGGAAGAGGAAGAGAGAGGCCTCTGGGGGTTTAGATTTTTAAAAGTAGTGGCTTTCAGGGAGCATGGATTCTCTGAAGAGTCAGATGTCTAGGCTGAATCAAGGAAGTATAAGCACCGTCTTCACGCCTCTCCTCAGCAAGGCGTCGAATGTTAAGGGAACTAAAAGCAAAGCCCGGGCTGCTTCTCTGCTGCAGCCAGACTAGGAAGGTCTCCTATCTCTGGTATTAGAACTGCATCCTCTCCTTCAAACCTCAACGTTGAGCATCCTTTCCTGCCAACCCCTTACAAAGCATGCTTAATAAGGCAGAGGACAAATACTAGCTTTTGAATGATCTGGAGTTGTGCATATGAGTATTCACGGGTGGGAAGGCCCAGAGTGGATGTCAAGATCCTCCATCTCATTCAATGAGGTGGGTCTCTCAACCGAGCCCTGAGCGCACCAATATTAGTAACTCTAGCCAACTTCCTGCCTTCTGAGCACTGGGATCACAGGCAGGCCACCACATCCACATGTCATTTACATGGGTTCAGGGGTCAGAACTCTGGTCCCCACACTTGTGTGGCAAGAGCTGGATCTACTGAGCCGTCTCCCCTGGCACCCTCCGAAAGATGAAGTTCCTGAGAGGCAATGGGCAAGGCCAGCCTGCGGAGACATGGTGCCAACATCAGCTACTGAGTGGAGGAAAAGGTCAGATGCCTGACTCACACTTTTAGCGGGAAGGGTAGCCAATCCCTCCTGTAGACATTGTGTTGGGGGGCGGGGCACAAGTAAAGGCATCAAACTAAACAGAGGCACTTACACACAGGATGAACACAGATATCAACTCAGGCACAAAAGATGCTCTGGCTTGTTTCATTATCACTTAAAAACAATTTTAAAACTCGATTATCTTTGCCAAAGAAAAAAGCAAAAACAGAACCACAGAAATCAGGCCATTTGACAGTTCTGAGGAACTTGCCTCTGGGACTCCCCTGGGCTCTGGCTCAGCTTGAAGTGTCAATGTTGGGCCAACCCAAGCATCCCAGGCGCAGCAAGAGGCTCTCACGCTGTCATCAGGTTCTTTTCTGAAGGCTGTGGCATCTGCCCAGATGGGCACTGCCCACCCCAGGTCAGATGCCCATTTCACACTGGTGTATAGACCACCGTCCACAGACTACAAGTCTGTTCAGAGAATGCAGACTGAAGGGAAGCAGGAGGAACACCCATCCCTGCAGCATCTGCTGTCATCCTGGCTTCTCTGTCCAGCAGCCTCTTGATCACTCCCTTCTCTGTCCAAACGGCTCTTTGGAGACTGGGGGAGGAGCCAAAGGCTAAGGACTTTCGCCATGATCTGGTCTGCACAGCCTCTGGCTGCTGTGAGAACCTACCCGTGGGAGCAGCAGCCGAGAGGGGAGGCAAAGAGCTGCAGGCCCTGGGGTAGGAGGGGTGGGGCTGCATGGAAGTTTCTCAGGCTGGGCCACAGGAAGCAGCTCGATCCTACCCCAAGTGAGGGGGGCTAGGAAGGGTACACCCTTGCATCTCTCAGGCTGGGGCGGGGTGGGAACACCGGGCCTCAGTCACTGTCAGAACCCACAGCAGAGGAACCTTTTCGTTTTCGTTTGGTGGGCTTAGGCTTCGTATCTTCTTCCTCCTGGAAGAAATGGGGGGCGGAGGGAAGGCGATTACTAGCCTGGGCAGTGGCTGGCCACACCCTACCTGTGTCTATCACGCCCTCCTCCCGTGCCCTGGCTATGGGTCTCACCGAGGCACTGCTGGAACCCGACTCTTCTTCAGCATTGGGGGGCTGGGCAGTATTCTTTCGACTTCGAGGGCTGGACAGGGCGGCCTTCCTCCGGCTCTTGGGTGGCTTAGTGGAAGAGTCCTCGTATTCCTCCGCCAGGGAGAAGAGGTCGCTGAACCTAAGAGGAACAGGCTTCCTGAGATGGGCATCCTGCCCGGCCCCTCCCTCCGTGTTCTCAGTAGCTGACCTAGTCTCTGTTTCTCAAACCCAGGATCTTGCTGGTCAGTAAGCCTATGTCCCCAGCAGCCCTCTTCTCCCCACTATTTCCCAAAGAAGAAGGGGCTCACTTCATCTTGTGGGCTTCGTCACAGCTCGCCTGGACATGCTGCAGCGCCTGGAGGATCGGTGTCTGGCTAAAAACTACAGAAGGGAGAGGAGGGAAGCACAGTTAGTGTGTCAGGAAGCTTACTACACAGCATCAAAAGTCGTTTCTTCTGTGGGTTTGAACAATGGTCTTGATATCTCATCCCTGCCCCCTGACTGGCTGGAGGGGATTTGAACCAGGGCAGCACCTCCCCCAAAATGGCCGAAGAGGAAGGGAGCAGGAAAGGGGGCAGCATACAGTTTTGCTTGGTGTTGGCTAGGTTGAGTCTTAGGTTGTCCAGGTGCTCCAGGATCTGCTCCAGGGTCAGCTGGGCCAGCTTGCTGCTAGAGCTCCTGAGGCTGCATTCGGAGACAGGGAGTCAAACACTCTCCACTCCACCAGGCCCTCCTTAGGTCACAGCAGTCCCCTCAAGGACACAGGGCTGGGGAGGGCTCAGGGGGTGTGCACTTGTGGGACTCAGGGACGGTCCTGTATTAGAGGTCACCCACAAACCAGGCTGGTATAGCACCAGCAAGCCACCAGCCCTGGGCAGCAGTCCTCGACCGCAGCCTGCCCTGGTGAAGAGCGACTGCAGTGCCCAGGTGTGTGTGGGACGGTGCCCAGGTGTGTGCGGGGCGGCGCCCAGGTCTGTGTGGGGGCGGCGCCCAGGTGTGTGCGGGGTGGCGCCCCACCTCTGCCTCTTGCGCGGAAGGCTGTTGTTCTTGATGAGCAGGGCCTTGATGTGCTCTGCCAGCAGCTCGTCATGCTTCATGCACCAGTGCCTCAAGATGCTGGTGGTGAACTGGTCGTCTGGATGGCAGGGCCTGCTCAGCACCATCTTCACCATCTCCTCGCTGGGCCTGCGAACGAGAGCAGGCTGGGTGCCACGCACACATAGCTGTCCGGCCTGGGAACTGCTACATCTCTGCCGATGCTGATTCTCCAAACGCCGGCCTCCTTGCCCCTGGGCTTCCTCCTCTCACATCTCCCCCCTTCTCTTTGGGCCAAGGAATTCCTGGTTTCGTTCTCTGAAGAAGCCAGATGAGAAGTGAGATTCTCCCACTTCTGGGGTGGTAGGAGGCATGCCTGTGGATGTCAAGAGTGAGGCCCTGACTCCCCCAGAGCAGGCAGAAGACCCAGGAAGCAAAGGGACACAGAGCATGCTAGACAGATGCCCCGGAGTCCCACAGTCCTGTACGGCTGTCACCTTAGGTCAGCTGAACATCCAGGCTGAGGGGAGCGGGAGGGAGGGTGGAAGCTGCAGTCCCCACAGGACCCTCCCTGACTTTCCACTGCCATTTCTAGGTCTCAGGCAAGACAGGAATAAGACGGAAGCAGGCTGCACTCCCAGCACTTACAGCGGGGCAGGGCAGAAGAACCAAGAGTGACCTCAGGCTACAGGACTATGTGGAGGTCAGCGTGGGCTGTAAGAGACCCTGCCTCACAAACAAACCAAACAAACGCAGGCAAAAGAAAAAGAGTTGGAAAAGGAACATGGCTGTTCCAAGGATCTGTCCAAGGCTGCTGCCAAAGAGGGATCAGGACGGAGGAGGCCTCTGCCCCCTCTCCCCAACACCTCCCTCAGGCAGGGCAATGGGGCCAGTGGCTCTTCTCTGTCAGGTGATGAAGGCAGGCAGGTATGGTCCCTTGCCCCTGACCTTCCCTTTTGATGAGCCTGTGGCGGTCTGAAGAGCGTGGGGAGGAAGAGGAGCAGCAGAAAACAGGGCCGTCCAGTCCCCACCTCCCTCTTCTGAGGGCAGCCCAGGGAGCTGCTTATTTGTGAGTCAGCCAGGGGAGGGCAGGGACAGGCAGATGGCCATGATAGGAAAGCAGGACCAAAGGAGCAAAGCTCAGTATCCCTTGGAATGTGGAGGCCTGGAGCCATCCGTTTGGAACTCACTTCTCTCTTCGGAGCTGAAGCAGGAGACAGGACAGGGCCTCTGGGTGTTCTGTGGGGGAGGAGAAAGGTTTTTCAGGGGAATGTATCATTTCAGGAGGTCAGGTGAGTATGTGAGTACTTCTCCTATCCCCTAGTGGTTCCAACAACCACTGGAACAGAAAGAACAGTCTTGTTCCAAGAACCAGGAAGAACCAGTGCCTCACTCAGTCTGGAGCTGCTGGGGCCTGGTGCCCTGCTCAGAGGAGGCCTGCAGGGCTAACTCTAGTGCACAAGTGTGTCTTGGTGGTGAGGAGTGTGGCCCTGGGTTACCTCAGAAGCTTGAAGGCCTCACCCACCTTCTTCTAGCCCACAGCCCACAGTCCTACTCACCCTTGTATTTGAGGTGCTGCAGGATAGGGATAATGGTCTCCAAGGGGATGTTATGGGCCAGGAAGAGCTGCCAGGCACAGTACTGCTCAAAGGTTTCCCAGTCCAGGCTCTGAACTGGAAGAGACAGAAGAAACCCTTCTGTCTGTCTGTCTGTCTGCCTGCCTGCCTGCCATCTCTCACACATACACACATGGTTGACCCACTGACTAGTAGCACCCCAAACAGACAGAGCTAAAATCTAGATCCTGTTTCTTCCCAGACAACACTGACTGCTACCGCTTTTGGAGGGCCGCAACATTCCCAGCAACCCAAGGGCTGGAGATGTGAGGGTGAAGAGCCTTTCCATGCTACAGAGCAAGACACAGAGATCAGGTAGCATGGTGCGCGCTCTCTCTCTCTCTCTCTCTCTCTCTCAATTTTCTATGCCCAGAACTACTTTTGTGTCACTGGTAAACACACAGCTGACGTCCCTTTCCTCTCCCAGGTACCTGAAGACCCGGTTACTTACTGAGTATGTTGAGGACTGAGTCCTTCCGAAACATGACCAGGTTCCCCATCATCACATGGCACACCAGCTCCTGGAGCTATGGAAAAGGAAACGTCAGACCCATTAGCTCTAAAAGAGGCCAGCGGCCAGGAGGGGAGGGATGACACACGGTTTGGAAGGTGAAGGAGTCAGATACAACAGCAACAGTCTTGCAGAACACAGGCCTGTTAGGGAAAACCTACCCACACCCTGGTGTCAAAGGCAAGGAACCACCTCTGCCTGGCCTGAGCCAGGCCTGAAATGAGAAGACCCTGGGAGGCTGGGCTCTGACCTAGTGTGGGGAGGGAAAGGCACAGGAAGGAGTCTCAATTCTAAGTCCTATGAGTGGGAACTGAGTGGACATGAGGAGAAATGAGATCCACCCCATTCAGACAGGGACTCGTGCAAAACTACAATCTCAGCTGGGTGTGGTGGTGCTCGCCTTTAGTCCCAGCACTCGGGAGGTAGAGGTAGGTGAAGCCTGGTCTACAAGGTGGGTTTCAGGACAGGCAGGGTTATACAGAGTACATGGAAGCTATAATCTCTAGGAGCCCTATGTATGGAGGTCAAGTCGAAATGGCCCGAATATTTTTATTCTTAGCTGAAGAGAAGGTCAGGCAAGAGCAAAACACACATGTATGTGCATGCACACACATCTGCCCACCCTCAGATTTATTTCCCTGTGCAAACAGGAACTTTCAGAGAACATGGAGAAATATCAGGGAAGATGGCCTTGACCCCAGCTTCTCTCTTGGGCTTTGCTTTGCCCTAATGGCCTGAAGGGCACCCACATGCAGTGGGAGGCAGAGTGCCTG